AGTTTCAGCCCGAAAGCCTGAAAGCAAGGGCCTACAGGCCCCGTGTCAGTTTCAGCCTGAAAGCCTGAAAACCAGGGCCTACAGGCCCCGTGTCATCTCAGCCTGAAAGCCTGAAAACGAGGGCCTACAGGCCCCGTGTCGTTTCACGCTAAATCAGGGCCTTTCCGGCCCTGAGTATTTTCAGCCTGAAACTGAGGACTATTTTCAGGCCCTCATCAGTTCGACCTGCCCCGAAACTCAGGCACCAGACCAGGGTTTTAGCTCAGGCCATTTTTGGCCTATTTTCAATACAACCTTTGTTTGAGCTTCAACCCCAGGGTCTGGCACGTTCTTCGGGACCGGCCAGACTATATAAGACTGGCCCGCCCTGCAGGCTGCAGGTAGTTGGGAGGTAGCTCTTAGGTACTTCCCAGGCACCTCACGTGCAGGCAGGAGGCAGTCCGTAGTCGTCAGGATTCGGCAGCAGCACTCTGGAGGGAGCGCTGCAGTAGTAGTAGTAGCGTTAGCATTAGTCTTCAGCGCTGGGCGCCAGTAGGTAGCTGTAGTCTTCAGCGCTGGGTGCCATAGCTAGGATAGTACTAGAGAGAGAGAGATTGGGTGGAGGCCAGGAGTACCTACCTGCAGCGCCGTTGCTCCAGCTTCGTCTTCGAGGTACCTGCAGCACAGCGCCAACTTCACAGGTTAGTACCTGGCTCGTGAGAGAGAGTTCTTCTTCTTCCTCTTCTCAGTTCACCATCTCCCTCTCACCCTCTCATTATCTGACTTCACTGCATCAGCAGACTACGAGAGAAAGAGGGAGAGAGAGTGAGCTTGGTGACATCGGATCCAGACTCGACTTTTGGGCTTCAGACATTTCGACGAGGGATTATTTGGGACTTGTGACAAAGACTTGGTGTTGACGACATTCCCATCTCTCCCCCTCTTCTTCGTCTGATCCCCTCCTCTTCGTCTGTGTATGTCTGGACCTTCCTTCCTGTGTATAGCGCCAGGATCCTTCACACCTTGTGATGAGCATGATGTATCTTTGGTCTGCGTTGAAACATTGATTGGGCTAGTCATTTGTATTCTAGCATTCTGCTTCGCTATCTTGTACTGCGAAAAAGGGGTCAGTCTCCGTCAGGTCAGGATTTGTATCTAAGTCTTCCCTGCGCTATAAAGCATCATATTGTATGTATCGGACTGCACATTGCTTGTTGAGATTCCACTTGCACTGCATTGTCCATTCAGTCCTTTTTATCACATTGTGGATCCTCGGTTTATATTTACATCACCCAACTGGGCATGTAACAGTTGGTATCGGAACGCCGCACGTGAATCAGGATAACCTGATCTGACACGTCTACGGGGACTAGGTAGCTGATTAGTCTTGATTGATTGATTAGAGCACACTAGTTAGCCCCCAAAATCACGATTTTGACCTTACTGCCGAAAATTGAATTTTTTTTCGAAAATTTCGATTTCCTGTTGCATTTCCCGTTATTTGGAAATTCGGAATATTTTCCGAAATTCGTTTTTCTGAAAACAGTACGGGAAATCCCTCCTGCGAGTATAATTGCGAGGATCTGGGTCCTCGGCAGGCCTAAGGGGCCCTGATTGCAGTGGTGCCCGCCCTAAGTGAAGGCGGGCCTAACTTATCACAAGAGGCCTTCGACTGTCAATTTCATATTTGGGGTACAGGCAGTTGCGACGCGCCAGTTGGTTGAAAGAAACACAGGCCGAGCAACAAAGACATTTCCACGGCCTACGGGGCCTTTCCAAAGAATGCAGGCCCTGGGCGTGAATCGCAGCNTTCCACGGCCTACGGGGCCTTTCCAAAGAATGCAGGCCCTGGGCGTGAATCGCAGCCTCATACACTGACAGTTGGGAGGCCCAACCGAACGAGGCTCAGTAGCTGCAGAGCAAAGGCAGCATCATGGGGTCTTCCGGAAGCTTCTGGGCCCAGGCCAGTGCAGCCAGGCTGCGCGAGCAGGCCAGCTCTTTCCATAAAGGAAAGAGCTCTCCCCCGGCAGTGGGATTCAAGCACTCGCATGCTAGCGGCAGTGCTGCTGGAGCAAATGCTCGTCGGCTGCTGCTGGCGCTGAGAGGCGAGGTGCCGCACGTGCGGTCGTGCAGGGAAGCAGGGCGCTGCTGAGGGCAGCGCCATAGCCCAGCCACCATAGCTGGTGGGCTTGGACTACAGTGAGGCGCATGGGTGGTCTTCGGGTGCAAGGGAGGATGACGTGGGTGTAAAGTCAGGGAAGGGTGAAGGATGGTGATGATGATGATGTGAGGGCACATACCTTGTATTGACGATGGTTTGCATTTGGGACATCTTCAAGTACTTCGGATTGCCGCTGCTGTCAACAGTTGCATTGTCTATTAGTAGGCTTATCGTAGCTGTGTAGGAGTAGGCTGGGCGCTGAGCGCCAAGTAGGAGTGTGAAGGGACTGGACTCTTGTGTTGTTGGCGGAGAGAGAAAGCTCTCCTTAACATTGGTTTTCAGTACTACGAACCTCCATTGGTGTATTATTGGTGCAATGTTGCTCTCTGGACACGGTGTGACTATCTGGCTTTCAATGTGATGGTGTAATCTGGAATTGTCATCTCGCTGTTGCTCATTTTCCTTGCAATTTGGTATCGGACCTGGTTCATATTGCGCTTCATTGGTTCTTCGCAATAGCTGTTCGGTGCTTAGCATGAGGTGTGGGGCAGTGATAAGGCTTGGGCGTTGAACGAAGGGCGGACCAGGGTCGTGTGGGCGCGCCAGGGAGCTATGTGGTAACATACGGGGTGTATGCTGGATGATGAGAGCTCTCTGATGTGGCATATTAAGCCGAGGTGGAACCGCATTCTGCTGTTGGTTGTGCCGAGGCAAAGACCGGTCATCATAATTGCACATCAGGTTGCCGGTGAGAAAATCTGTGGTTGGGGGCAGCATTAAGAGGTACGTTGCTTCCTTCCTTATCTACCCTCTTCATTGCTTCTTACCGTGAGGAAATGAGTCTTGTCTTGAGAGTCCTCTCGATGTGAGGGGTCGCGAGCGCTCAACCTTGAGAGTCGACATTCTTCCTGGGCAGCAAGCTGGTGGGAGACGGGCGAAGCCTCTGAAGGGCCCTGGACGAAGCACTCGGGTCACGGTCACCATGCCAACCTGCTGGGACTAGTACACGCATGCTTTGCTGCAAGTCCTTGGTACTGCTGCTTGCGCAATAGTGGTCATGCAGGGCATGCCAGCCCTTTGACAGACGCTTACCAGACCATCTTTAAATATTTCTGGCGGGGATCGGTGCTGACTCTGGCTGTGATCGTCGTCCTGTCCGCGACGTTAAATAATTCCTGAGGAGTTACGGGGGATCTCCTTAAATGCCTCCTGATCAGCCAGATCAAACCGGGTGTAAGGCTCGTTGCATGCGAGGGTAAATAATGTGCAGGGGCTGGCAGGTTCAGCGTTGACTTGGGGCACAGGGGTGGGCCGGATTGCACACCTTCAGACACGCTGCTCAACCAGATGCTCAGGGCGCCGACACAAAGAGACAAATCAAGAAGGTTACAGGGGGAGGGGGGATTCCAGTAACTGTTCACAGTGGCAATAATTAGATAATATGCCATCCAGTGTACATCTTCAGCAGGAGATATTATTTTTATTTTTGATTATCTAGTTGTTACAGACTTGACTAACAATTGACAGACAGCTGCAGACATATTAGTTCTTTGCTGCATTGCAATCTGTTCTAGGGTAATCTAAAAATAGATATGAAATTTCCAGTAGGATCTGACATTAGTTGTTACTACATCACCTAACTGTTTCTGTTCAGGCCGACCGAAATCAGTTGTGTATTGTACTCGGTTGTGTGTCACGCTAAGGTAGGATTCAGTGTGGATTCTAGTTTAGATCACACTCACTGTAGCTCATGAGTGATGCAAGCACAAGTGAGGAGGAGTTGTTAGTGGATGACCGTAGGACTACTCGTGGGACTGCTCGCAGTCAACCTTTGACATTCTTGGAGTTAGGTCTAGGAGACGAGAGGAGATTGTGGAGAGAGGCTAGAGAGAGAGCAGCAGCAAGGAGAGTGAGGGTGGCTGAGGATAGGGCCAGGACTAGAACTATAGCTAGCACCGGTACAACCATAGCCACTTCATCTACCATGTCGCAAACCTCTTCACAGTCCCTTCGTCAGGAGTAAGCTAGAGTGGTTCTCAGGGGTCCATTAGCCAGACTGTTGGCTTGCTAGTCAGCCAGCAGACTCAACTCACGACGGAGGATTATGAAATCCTCCAAGCAGAATAACTTCAGGATGAGCTGCAGCGGCAACTGGATGAGGCAGCAGAGAGGAGACGGAGAGCAATCATGAGGAAAGCTAGACTAGGTAGTAGGAGAGAGGAGCTAGGCAGACTGGAAGCATTAGATGAGTCATCGCTTGACCCTGCGATACGAGCGCTGCGTAACTCGCTTCTTTGTGTGGCGGAAGCGCAGGCTGTCCAGCAGGAAGTGCTGGCTGAACTAATGGCAGGCCAGAAGGAGATTATGGCTGCAATACGGACTCCTCGTCCCATGATGAGGCAGCCTCCGTATGCTGTAGTTCCCCCTTCAGGTGCAAGTCCATCAATGACGCTCCCACCGGTAGGGCCTCCGTTTTCACCTATGTTTGGCATGCCCCCTCCAGGTGGTTAAGAAGCAACTAGTGGTCCGATTCAGAGAGTCTCAGTCGTACCATCGACAACAGTGGTTACTACAGTCCCACTGTCAAGTCAGGCCCAGGTTAGTGTGCAACAACCTGTTTCGGTGGCTATGCAGCCACTACAGCAAGCCCCTGGGCCCCTGCAGCCTATGCAGTGGATGCCCAAAATACAATTGCCGAGTCCTAAGCCCTTCTCCGGCGACAGGAAGAAGGACAAGGATTTGGATACCTGGGTAACGACGGTGCCTACTTATGTGAGGCACAAGCTTACCAGGCCAGAGCAGGAAGTTGTTGTGGATGCCTCCTTTTTAAAGGGGTCAGCAGCCCGTTGGTTGAATGACCTAGTGCAGCAGCAGGGCTACGGTCATAATTTCGATGCCTGGCCCCCGGCCCAGACATTGGAACAGTTCGTACAGTCCGTGTACAACAGGTGGCATGACCCGCAAGGGGCTCAAAAGGCCACTGACGCTATCAACAGTCTTTGTGCCAGACGGTAAAAGAATGTTAGAGAGCTGACGGACACTGTAGAACGTCTTCTCGTGGTACCTGGTGTGCGCTACGACCATCAGGTACTCCTCACGGATTACCTTAAATGTCTGCCTTCAGAGGTAAGGACAAAGCTGGTAGATGAGGCTTATGTCGATCAGCACAACTTCGCCTCCTTCAGCAAGAAAGCCTTAGACATAGAGGCTAAGTTGGGACACGATGGTCAGGCGACAGAAATTGCCGACTTCCCAGACCTTGGGGAGGAGAGAGAGCATGATGGGGCTAGTGAGACTTCGGATGGGGGAGTTGTGGCACCCATCAAGGAAAAGGCTACGGGGACCGGGAGAAAGAAGGTAGTACGGTCCACGGGTCAGGGCGACCAAGGAACACCCGCATGGGTAAAACTTGGTTTAGAGTACGAGGTGTGGAGGGACCGAGTTGCTAGGGGCACGTGTATGAACTGTGGCAACTATGGCCACATGTCTCGAACGTGTCAAGGCAAGAAAGTCCTGACGAGGGCAGCCTCACCAACGGTGGTGAGACTATCTTCGAACTCTGGCGGTGCTTCTGTGAGTACTTCACAGGGAAACACCTCGGGCCAGTAGGAGTTTTAGCCGCTCTTACTCGCGCTGAAGTGGTAGCGTTGCCTTCCCCACTTCGGGCGTTGGCCAAGGCTAGTGACCCACGCATCGCCCCGCAGACACATTCAAACCCACCGACGCTCTGTTCGAGAGATGTGTCTCAGGCCCTAGAAGAGTTAGAGACCAAGTGGTCAGGAAAAGACCCCTGGGACTCTTGGGCGATGATTAGTAGAGGTCCAGGAGGTGAACATTTCGTGGTAGAGGTTGATGTAGGTGGCCGCAAGGTTGGCGCCTTCGCAGACATAGGCTCTACACGGAACTTCCTCAGTCGTGCTTGTGTGGACAAACTGCGCTTAGGAGACCAAGTGCAGCGGCTTAGCAGAACTGTAGCTTCTACGCTGGCCAACAAGCACCAAATGTTGGTAAAAGACTATGTCAAGGACGTAGTCTGCACCTTCTTCTATGGAGGAGGGGAAGTGAGCCATAAGATCTCCTTCTTGGTTAGCGATGAACTGCCCTTTGATATGCTCTTAGGCATGTACTACCTCGAGGTCGCGCAACCTCAGTTTGACTGGGATAGAAAGGTGTTGATCCACAAATTGCCCAATGGTAGAACTGTTAGATTGCAGAATTACAAAGCTAGCAGTCTGATAAAAAACTACGGGTGCATGTGTGCATCGTCTTTCTATAACTACTATAAGCAGAATCGGGAGGAGGGCATGTATCTAGTCTTTGTCTCTGAGAAAGGGGAGGCCGTTAAAACACCCCCAGAGATAGAATCAGTCGTCGCACAATATTTAGACCTTTTTTAGGAGCCCACAGGCGTGGTAGAAAGGGAGGTTGTCCATGCAATAGAGGTTGTCCCAGGTAGTAAGGTACCCAGAGGACGAATCTATAGGATGTCTCTTGCGGAGTTAGATGAGCTTCGCCGCCAGCTCAAGGAGCTCACAGAGAAGGGATGGATTCGGCCTAGTACCTCCCCTTACGGCGCTCCAGTCCTATTCGTACCGAAGAAGGGAGGTACCTTGAGGATGTGCATTGACTATAGGGGTCTCAATGCCATCACTGTTAAGAACGCGGAGCCCCTACACCGCATCGACGACCTCTTGGATAGAGTGCAGGGATGCCGGTACTTCACCCAGATAGATCTGAAGTCCGGATACCATCAAATTGCCATTAGACCTGAGGACCAGCACAAAACCGCATTTCAGACCAGGTACGGTCTGTACGAGTTTGTAGTGATGCCTTTTGGCCTATGCACTGCACCTGGTACGTTCCAGCACGCGATGAATAGGATTTTTCATGACTACTTAGACAAGTTTATCGTCGTGTACCTCGACGATACTCTTATCTTTAGTAGGACTGTAGAGGAGCACGCTGAGCACTTGAAAATAGTGCTAGGTCTCCTAAGACAGCACCAGTACGAAGTTAACTTGGAGAAATGCGAGTTTGGTCGCACCAAGATCTTGTACTTGGGTCATGAAATCTCAGCAGATGGACTGAGGCCGGATGATGCAAAGGTGGTCAGCATACGGGACTGGCCCGGACCTCAAACCGTTACTAAGGTCAGATCGTTTTTGGGAATGATGAGCTACTATCGTCCGTTTGTGAAGAACTATAGTACTATAGCTTCCCCATTAACAGATCTAACTCGACTTGACACCCCTTGGGAGTGGACTGAAGAGTGTGAGGCGGCCTTCAAGAAACTGAAGTACACACTATGAGGTTCTTAAACTTTCGGATCCTGATAAGCCATTTGTCGTGACCACAGACGCCAGCATATATGGCATAGGCGCGGTCCTTGCGCAAAAGGAGGGGCCTAAGTTGAGACCTATCGAGTATATGAGCAAAAAGATGCCATCTCAAAAACTAGCTAAGTCCACTTATGAGTGTGAGCTCTATGCCCTGTATAGAGCGCTGGTACATTGGAGACACTATCTCCTTGGCAGATTCTTCTATGTGAGATCTGACCATGAGACCTTGCGCTGGATTAAGACACAACCAGTCCTCTCTGACGCACTCAAGCGGTGGATTCAAGTGATAGACATGTATGACTATCAACTTGATCCCATCAAGGGAGAGTACAACAAGGTGGCTGGCGCGTTACCTCGTCGGGCAGATTATTTGGGCGCACTAGTGATTGAATTTGGCACATCTAGCGACTTGACTCGATCATTGGTGGATGCCTATCAGCAAGATCCAGTTATGTCTGAGATCATTCGTAGATTCCAAGCAAAGGACAAAAAGACTTTGGACGAATTTACGATGGTAAACGGCTTACTGTTTCTTGAAAAGGCAGGGAATAAAAGATTGTGTGTTCCCAGTAGTGAGTCTTCGCGTAGTTTATTTTTAGGATAATGTCATGATGCAACGGGTCATTTTGGCTACAAAAAGACTTCAGCTAACCTAGTACAAAAGTTCTGGTGACCCACTATGATGCAAGATACGAAAAGGTATGTTGAAACTTGCCAGGTTTGCCAAAGGGACAAACCTAGGACTCAGGCACCGCTTGGGCTCATCAAGCCCTTGCCGATTCCTTAAGGGCCTGGTCAGAGTGTGTCCATGGACGTCATGGATACTCTTGTGACCAGTAAGTCCGGCAAAAGGCACATCTTCGTAATAGTGGACCGCTTTACTAAGTATGCAAGACTGATCGCTATGCCAGAAACGGCTAAAACTGACTACGTCATCAAACTGTTTATGGATAATTGGGTACGTGATTTCGGTGTGCCTACGTCTATCGTTAGTGATAGGGATGTGAGATTCACAAGTGAACTGTGGCAGTCGACTGTTGAACAGATGGCACAAAACTCCAAATGACCTCAGGGAATCACCCTGAGTCAAATGGCCAGCCCGAACAGATGAACCGGGTAGTACAGCACCTGCTTCCGCATTATATTAAGCCAAGTCAGGATGATTGGGACGAGAAGTTACCTCTAGTCGCCAACCTGTACAACAATGCTGTGCACAGTACTACCGGTATGACTCCCAACCAGTTACATCTTGGTTGGAAGCCCAAAACTGCACTTGACGTTCTGCTACCAGAAAGACAACCCACTGCAACACCTGGCAGCATAGACTTTGCTGTCAAATATGAACAGATGCTGCAGCAGACTGTTGAACATATTAGGAAATCTCAGGATGCTATGATCGCATCTGAGAATAAACATACACGGCCCTCTAACTTTCAGGTAGGTGATAGAGTCTGGGTGAAGTCATCTGAACTAGGTCAGGAGATGGGGATATCACGAAAATTGATGCCACAGTACTTTGGTCCCTGTGAGATCTTACACATTGTAGGGGATCAACCTGATGGGCCTTCATACGTGATTCGTATTCCTTCCCACTTACGCACTTACCCTGTGTTCCATGCCTCTAAGTTGGCACCATTCGCTGCTACTGACCAGTTTCCCTCAAGGAGATCAATGCTGCCCCCAGCCATGGATGGCGAGGTGGACATCGACCAGATCGTGGAGCATCGAGTAATGCCTGTTTTTCGACCATCAGGCAGAGGGCGCCCTCCTAAACCGAGAATGCAGTATCGTGTGAGCTTCAGACATCATCTGGATCCCAAGGAAGATCGCTGGTTCACACGAGAAGAACTTATGAGAACAGCACCTCAAGTGATAGCGGGCTATGGAAGAGAACTGAAAGGAAAGATGCTTGCAGACTAAGAGACTTCTCAGAGGACTAACGAAGTAAAGGAGGAGGGAATGCGAGGATCTGGGTCCTCGACAGGCCTAAGGGGCCCCGATTGCAGTGGTGCCCGCCCTAAGTGAAGGCGGGCCTAACTTATCACAAGAGGCCTTTAACTGTCAATTTCATATTTGGGGTACAGGCAGTTATGACGCACTAGTTGGTTGAAAGAAACACAGGCCGAGCAACAAAGACATTTCCACGGCCTACGGGGCCTTTCCAAAGAATGCAGGCCCTGGGCGTGAATCGCAGCCTCATACACTGACAGTTGGGAGGCCCAACCGAACGAGGCCCAGTAGCTGCAGAGCAAAGGCAGCATCCTGGGGCCTTCCGGAAGCTTCTGGGCCCAGGCCAGTGCAGCCAAGCTGCGCGAGCAGGCCAGCTCTTTCATAAAGGAAAGAGCTTTCCCCCGACAGTGGGATTCAAGCACTCGCATGCTAGCGGCAGCGCTGCTGGAGCAAATGCTCGTGGGCTGCTGCTCGCGCTAAGAGGCGAGGTGCAACACGTGCCGTCGTGCAGGGAAGCAGGGCGCTGCTGAGGGCAGCGCCATAGCCCAACCACCATAGTTGGTGGGCTTGGACTATAGTGAGGCGCATGGGTGGTCTTTGGGTGTAAGGGAGGATGACGTGGGTGTAAAGTCAGGGAAGGGTGAAGGATGATGATGATGATGATGTGAGGGCACATACCTTGTATTGGCGATGGTCTGCATTTGGGCGACATCTTCAAGTACTTCGGATTGTCGCTGATGTCAACAGTTGCATTGTCTATTAGTAGGCTGATCATAACTGTGTAGAAGTAGGCTGGGCGCTGAGCGCCAAGTAGGAGTGTGAAGGGACTGGACTCTTGTGTTGTTGGCGGAGAGAGAACGCTCTCCTTAACATTGGTTTTCAGTACTACGAACCGCCATTGGTGTATTATTGGTGCAATGCTGCTCTCTAGACACGGTGTGACTATCTGGCTTTCAATGTGATGGTGTAATCTGGAATTGTTATCTCGTTGTTGCTCATTTTCCTTGCATTATTTTCCAAACTGTGAATACTCTCATCTGAGCAAGTCCGAATATTTGATTTCTTTTCGGAATTTTTTTTTCGCAGTTCTAGGATTCTGTTAGTCAGTTCTATAAATCATTTGCAGTCTGATGTTCAAATTTTTTTTTCTCATTGATAATTTCTCACTTCAAGGGAGGTTGGGAGACCTACTGAACTTGCAAAACTCGGGATTTTTATTTTTCTCGAAATTTTTTTTTGCCAAGTTCAAAATTTTCTTTTTTGATTAGTGGCTCCTTATTTGGGCGACTACCCACCCACCCCTCCCCACCTATGTTGTTACCACCTCTGGTCTTATCTTCTCTATCTGTCTCTGGGTACCCCCTGCGGCGGCATTAGTGAGTTGCCACGTCGGCGGGCCATGTCAGCAGGCCACGTCAGCAGACCACATCAGCAGACCACGTCAGCAGGCCATGTCAGCGGGACACAGCAGTCAAACAGTGCCACGTCAGCAGCAGGGAGTGCCACGACAGCAGTCCTCCGGCCTGATCAATACTCATGCGCTTACAAACAGCCGACATGGATCGGAAGTCCGGGGAAACGGACGAGGCCTATCAGGCCCGAGCAGAGATCAGCATCGGCCGAAAGTGGCCGTGGTCAAGGCGGCAATGCCAACCGACCAATCTAGCGAGGTCGTGTCTGCCAATGAAGGGGACAGACTCGCAGTCGCCCGGGATAGTGGCCGCCCCGGCAGAGGCCGAGGACGCGGCAAGATGAAGACAAACACCACATTTATCCCCGGGCCCGGCGCAACAGCTTCAGCCCCATGGACCCACTACGGCGAGCTCATCAAGTCTTGACCATGACGTCGAATCCCCAACGATAGATTGCGGCGAAGCTGTCGAATCGGTTGCCGATGGTGATGAAACCGTGCATGCGCTGGACTGTTGCACGTGGAGCGGTTGGTCCAACGGTGAAACCAAGTGGACAGCATAATCCTCGTAAGTATACCGAGGACTTGCGACATTCGCATCCTCCCCAGGTGTGCGGGAGGCCGCTAGCAAGGCGGCCGAATCTGGCGGAGTRGAAGGTGGAGTCGCCTCACCTTCCGCGRAGCTCAGTTTCCCGAGCTGAGGCGGGGTCGCACATCCTCCTTGCCCTGATCYTGGCACAGGGAGGTCTTGTGCTTGGTGCTGTTGCACCAATAGCAGYTGCCGTAGCGGCCGCGGACTTTGTACTCCGCCTCGGTCAAGCCAAACTTGACCCATGGAAACTGTCCTGGCTGTCCATTTCCGGCCTGCGATGCGGATTTCGCCTTTCCATTGTTGCGGGACTTGTTGGTGCTTCGCGGCTGGACAACAGCCACCTGATCTCCGTCACTTGATGCTGGAGTGGCTGCTGGGTTATCCCCACTGTCCTGCTGGTGCAGCTGACCTGTTGGTCTTGATGATCTCTCGCGCCTTGTCGATAATCTCGGCGAAGGTGGCGTACTGCTCGCGATCACCAAGAGCCTGGCTGAATGCAGCACAGGACTTGTTGTAGAACTCACGCCTGAGATGAGTGAAAGGCAGGTCCAGATTGGGCACTGCCGCAATCTTCTGCCACTCTGTGAGCCAATCCCATGTTGCAGTGTTGCCCTGTGACATGGTGAACAAACGGTTGATGGCAAGTGTCGACGGGTCGTCGACGATGAACTGCTTCTTCCACAGCCGTGTCAGTTCTTCCCATGTGATCTTGTCCTTGAGGTCCGGTACGTCGACGTCGTGGGAGGTTGCCAGGTGGGTCAACCAGGTCTGGCATCCGCCCTTTGAGTTCAGGAACAGGGCGCCGATATACTTGTGCTTAGCGACAGCCAGAATCCTGAGTTGTGTCGTGAATGCCTCCCACCAAAGGGTCGGATCCTGCTACGTGTAGTCGTCGAACTTTTCCAGTTGGAAAGTTGGCATCTTCTGATTGCCATCTGCGTTCGTCGACTGCAGCTGTTGGACCTCGGTCTTCAAGGTATGCAGCTGAGTGCTGATGGTGGACGGCACAGCGAAGGTGTTATTGTCGCCGAGCATTGCCAGGATGTGGTCAACGCGTTCCTCCAGTTGGCGGCTAGAGGGTGCACTGCTGGAAGCCCCAGCAGTTGGTCCTTGTACAGCCTGTTCCAGGTCCAGCAATCGGGCATTGAGTGCCCGAGTTGCATCCTCGTGGCTCTGCACTGTGCGGCGGAGCGTTGCCAACTCCTGATGCTGTTGCGTCAGGTCCTGGTAYTGTCTCTCMAACTCTGACCGTTGGTAGTTGCAAGCATACARSAACCRTGTCACGAGTTTGGAGAGGAACTCCTTATGCTGCTCTTCCAGTGTTGCCTCGTCGCCGTTCGGTTCAAAATGCCAGAACTTGAGTCTGTCGATGCTTGTGGCTTCATGCCGCTGTAGCAGATCCTGGGCTTCCTTGCGCCGAGCCTGGGAATCTGCGTCTGCATCGGCCTGTAGCCGCAACTTCTCTGCTGCTGCTGCCTCTTCAGCCTGTACGCGGGCAGCCTCGACTGCCAGCAGGCGTTGTTCCCCAGCCTCTATCTGAGCCAGGCAACGCGGCTTGTAGGCGGCAATGGTCTCATTGGCCAATTGGCCTGGCAGGCCTGTCATGTTGCTGACGTGGCACTGCTGATTACATGGCACTGCTGATGTGGCACTGCTGACGTGGCACTGTGTCCGACGTGGTACTACTGACGTGGCACTGCTGACATGGCACTGTGTCGGACGTCACTGCTGACGTGACACTGTGTCTGACGTGGCACTGCTGTCGTGGCACTATGTCTGACGTGGCAATGTGACCTCGCACGGCTCATCTGGCACTGTGACGTGGCACTGCTGACGTGGCACTGTGACTTGGCACTGTGACTTGGCACTGTGACGTGGCACTGTGACGTGGCACTGCTGATCTGGCACT